TTGAGTGATTAGTTGTTCTCGTTGTAATTCATGTGATTTTTCCACTCAAATGCAAATATGGTTCTATCGAATAAGCTTGTTTTGTATGATCTCGAAAATCAGACTATTGGGTGGGCTAAATACAATTGTGAGTATAGCATACTGCTTGTTACTTCTGCGTTTTTTGGTTGGTTTCAGGATTTTACTTTGTCCTTCTCTTGTATGTTGGTTCATTGGAAATATTTCTTTCTTTATGCTTTTTAGCATGTATGTTCAAATTGTGAAAACAAAAATAGTAATTATTGTTCTCAAGTACCTTACAGTATCTGACTTGATGTTTCAATCTCCCATCTCCATTATTTTAAGAATATTTTGAATGATAGGGTGTGCTACATGCACTAAAACTGAGATTAGACTACTATGTAATTGTGAGTGTAACATGCTATTCAATTGAAAAAAGAAAAATGTATGTTTGAATCAAATTATTTATGAGAATATTCCAATGTGTCCTAAAAGTATCATAGGTTATTACAGTCTAGTATCTTATAGCATCTGCCGGCTGCTGTCGGCCTACTGGCTACTGGCCAAGGCTGCGGCATGCTGGCTAAGGCTGCTGGTTGCTGCTGCAAGCTGCTGCTGGCCTGTTGGCAAGGCTATGGCCTGCTGGGATTTGTGATTAGTTATGATTAATTTAATTATGTGTTAATCAAGATTTATTAAGACTAAGTGTTGTTTAATTAAATTAATCCTAAACATAAATTGAATTATAGAAGAATATAGAATTGAGGATGTATGTGGGTGTGGGTGTATTGAGAAATTTTGTGGGTGTGTTGAGAATTATATGTGTGTGTATATGTTAAGAGGTAAAGAGTTGAAGTCATTGTTTTTGCTTTGTGCTGAAACAACCGAAAGAGAGAGAAACCGAGAGAGAGAGATTTGTGCTGGAAACCAAATTCAAGAACCCAAGAAGAAGAAGAAATACAGAAGGAAAAGCTAGGAAAAGTGAAGAATTGAAGGGGAGTTCAAGAGTTTGTCAAAGGTTTATCAAGTTCAAGATTTTAGGTAAGAAATTAAACCTTAAATTTTGTTGATAAGTCATCTAAAAGCTAAAATTAAGTAGTTGGTTTCAATTTCATATAATTTGGAAGAAATTAGAAAACAAAGATGAAGAAATTAAGTTAGGTTTATGGTTATATAAATTAATTATTTTGGGTTTGATTTTGTAGTCTTGCATGAAATTAAGTCTCATTGTTACATGTATGAGCAAATTCTACAAGTTTTAATACTTTTTGGTTTTTCCCAGATTGACAAGAATGTACTGAAGTTCAAAACGAAACCGTTGGAGCATATGGACCTCATGCGAAGGGTGTACGAAGGTGCAACGGCAACCGGGAAATTTGCATGGACACAAGGGGCAGCGTTCGAACCTGTCGCCACGGAAGACAATCCTTTGCTGGTAGATGAAGAAGACTGCGAAGACAGCAGTGGTTTGCCCCCTTTCCAGCCATCCGCGCAGCATGCACACACTGTCCACCACAGTCCTGCGCAAGAGGAGGATACCCCAATCGCTGTACATGCTGCGTCATCAGCAATTCACGGTGATGACACACCTACGAGTGGCGGAAGCAAACGCAAATTCAGTCGCACAACACCCCCACAGCGGAAAAAAGGGCAGAGTGAGGGAGCATCGCTCTTGGCGAGTAGCATGGAAAATCTTGCGTCTTCAGTTAAATTACAACAATGAGACGTCCGCGTGCATCATGAGTATGCAGATTCGGCCTCGAACTGCATTCACAAGTGTATGGCAAGGTTGTACTCCTTACAAGGCTTGGACCCGCAAGACCCACTAATCCCTTACGATTTGACGCTAATGGACAATCGAGCAAATCAAGCAATATTGTTGTAGATTCCGACGGACGCTGTAGTCATTACTTGGCTACGAATGAAGAAGTCTGCGAATATGGGTGGCCCATCAGCACCAATTCACGGCCCCGGAATGACTGGGTGGTTCTGACGGCTTTAGTCACCGGAAAGGGTTCATGTTTCATTACGGATCTGCTGTTGTTTTCTACCATGTTGCTACCTCCTATGGTTGTTTTACATTTATTTTTTCCCCTGCCAACAACCCGTAACTGTGTGTATTTTCTTTTCCTTCCCTTACAAACAGATTGGACAGTGGCTGTAGGATTATTTTGTTATGGAATCGGTGTGTGATGTGTTGGATGTTGTATTACTTCTTATGCAGCAGGCACCTTATTTATAAATGTGTTTGGATTCCTGGGTTTGAAGGGATGCTGTCAAAATTCTTATTGAATTGTGATGACCCATTTTTTATGTGTGTTGTATATCTATGGTTTATGCATGAGTTGGGTTTACAGTTATGGTTTGAACTGGAAAATCAGAGATGTAATTGAGATGCAATTACAGAGATGCAATTGCACCATCCACCACACTCCAACAGAGGCAAATCAGAGATGCAGATGCTGGCTAACATGGTTGTGAACAGAAGGAACATTACAGGATCCTCCAACCTCCATTCATTTGAATACTTTTCTCCCCCTCTGTTTCTGTTTTGGTTTGAAAAACAATACTACCTATCCTGTTTTTCATTTGAATAAAAAATAACAACTTCAAGTCTAATCAGATAAAATTGTTTTAAGAATGAAAAAAAAATGCTACGTCATCAGTCATTTGATCTTAATTTTCTGAATTCAATTTTATAGAAAAGTTTTTTTTTTCGTAATTTTTTGTTTAGTGAATAATTTTAAAATTTTAAGCATTATTTTTTAACTTTTTTAGATGCGTCTTAATTAGATGTATCTAAATATTAAGATATTTGTAAAAAAATATTTTAAAAAATTAATAAATACACAAAAACAATAAAAATGAACACTAATAAAAAATGCACAAATATTCTATTTTTAAAGTGTATTTATATTAGGTGTGTTTAAAAAATTAAAAAAAGTTTACATGACTTAAAAAATTCAGGGAAAACCAAAAGATATAGAAATGCTAAAAAAGTAAACTGTTTAAAAAGTGAATTATATAAAAATAGAAAACAAACAGAGTGAATAGTTTTTAATGGGTAAAAGTGAAATTGTATACATACCCAAACATAAAAATATACATACATTTGATAATAATTTTTTGTGAAGATGTACATGACTTAAAAATAAATTTTACATTTGCAGGTGCTGCAATTGTACCCAAAGATTTTAATGTACCCTAAAGATTTTTTTGAACTTGCCTCAATAGTGTCTATTTGTGAGAATTGGACAGGTCCCACAATTGCAGACCATAGCTTTTTCATTAGGTTGCTATCTTGGATGTACCCTCACATTACTGCAACAGCCACGTGAACACTATTGTGTTCATGGGAATGTGGACGTGTAAAAATGAAAAATGTTTGGGAGCACTAAAAAGATAGCACTACGGGGAGCATTAATGATGTGGCAGTGGGCCCCGCCTACTTTCTATGCCTTGTTTTATTTTTTTTCCTTTTTTTTTTGCCATTTCCAATGCATTAGTGCTATTAGTGATGTATTTTTTAGTGGTCTAAACCATTGTTGTGTAAAAAGTACTTTTCAATAATGTTGTGCGCTGTATGTGATGGACAACTTTTGTTATTTTACATTTGGAAAATCAGTTTTTATTTCATGTGTAAACAAATATGAAACTTTTATATTTTTTGTTTGTTGTATATTTGGCATATAAATGGTTGTCTCGGTTCATAAATGATTTTGATTTTGTATTGTGTTTACATTTTTTAATTTTATTTATTTGAACACACTGAAGTTGACTATAAAATATGAAAAATAGGTTTATTATTTTTTCATTTGGCAAGTTGTCTAGTTTATTATCATGGCTGCACAAAATATTATTTTGTGCACATTATTAAAATGTTTTCCGGTTCCCACAAAAAAGAGAATAACATTTTGTGCACCTCCTTCATTGTTTTTTGGTTCCCACAGAAAACAGAATCCAACATGATGACACCCTTGACAAGTTGTTGAAAGTAGTACATCACAAAAAGCTACGTTTATGAAAAAAAATGGCCCCACAACCTTGGCCATTATATGCTTCCCCTCTTGTCAATTGTTTTTGCTTCAGTGTGGTTTGCTCTCTATCCCTCTCTCTCCTTGTACCAAGAACTCATTTATTTCCTTGGAAGTTTGGGTGGTTTTTCACGCTCACTACTACAAAAATAGTTAAAGATCATACTTTGACAAAAAAAAAGATTTCACTTTTATTGAAAGTGTGATAAAAAAAATTAGATTGATTTTTTAATCACATTTAATTTGATTGAGTGTGATAATATTTATTTTTTATGTCACTTTTCAATTAAGTGTGATTATATATATATTTTTTTAATCACACATTCTAATTAAAGTGTGATTATATATACATTATTACTTTTTAATCACACTTTTTAAATAAATGTGATTATTTATATATTTTTTAATCACACATTCTAATTAAAGCGTGATTATTTATATATTTTTTAATCACACAATGTAATTAAAATGTGATTATATATAAATTATTACTTTTTAATCTCACTTTTTAAATAAGTGTGATTATATGTATATATATATATATATTTAATTACACTCCATAAATAGGTGTGATTGTATAAAATATTTCAATTTGATTTTTATATAAAATATACAATTCCCAAATCAAAGATCTTCCTTTATGTAGTTTGGGAAGTGAGTTTTTATGTAGTTTTTTTAATTGTAGGATTTTATTGGAGAAAATTTTTTTAGTGTTTGAAAAGATAGTTAAGTTTTTTTGTGGTTAGATGTGATGTTTGTGAGAGAAAAAGTAAAATAATTATAAAATTAGATGTGATATTTTGTTTAGATTTATTTTTTTAATTTTTAAAAAATTTGTCATCTAGTGAAAAAAAAAAAAAAACTCAACACACAAACCTCCCAAACACCACCCAAAAATCAAATATTTTGAGTAAACAATATAAAAGGGCCCAAACCAATCCTGATCCAAATTCAACCACACTCATACAGTCCCACTAGGGTTTTTAAGACTTGTACTACGCAACTCACACTTATCTCTGCTGCTCCGACTAGGGTTTATAGACCCCCACAATTTTTGTCTCTGTTTCTCTCTCTCTAAGTTTATTGTTGTTGTAAGATCTAATTATGGAGTGAACCAATAACTAGGGTTTCCTGGTTGCTTCTGAAACTCCAAAAGCTTCGAGCTTTTACATCGCTATGTATCTGTAAAAACATATATTGAACTATATAACAATGGCGACCACAAACCTTTTTGATCTTCTTGGCGACGATGAAAACGACGACCCCAATCAGCTCCTCCAGAAGCTCCCTCCCCCTCCGAAGAAAGCCCCAGCTCCGGCTCAGTCCGCCGCCGCTACTCAGCCGGCTAAGCTGCCCTCCAAGCCTCTCCCTCCAGCTCAGGCCGGTAAAGCCTCTGATTTAGACTCTCTCTCTCTCTCTCTCTCTCTCTCTCTCTCAATCTATCTCTCTTCATTTCCAAATCATATGCTTAAGATCGATGTGTTTGTGCATCTGTATGTATATGTGTTTTTATGCAATATAAATGTGTACATATTGTGTGTTATGTTTTGATATATGGTGGAAATGGAATGAAAATGAAATTCAGATTATTGATGTTCATCTTTGAATGAAAAAAAGTTTTGTTTTTGGTGTGAGGTTGCTGAGAAAATGGAGGAAATTAAAAGATTTGATTTCATGAAGAGGAGATTTAGAATTCTCATATATGTTATTTGCAAAATTTTCTACAGATACTTTATAGGAGGTAGAAAAAAATAAAAGAATACATTTGGATGTATTCATGTTCTTTGATATTGCTAGCATTGGACTTTTACAAATTCTACCATGGTTACCATCACCATCATGGTAGTTTCTAAAACAAAGTACCTTGGTACATTGTCATTTTCTGAAATGAAGAATAGATTTTCTGGTGGATCTTGTTCTTTATTTAGTACTTAAAGTCATCCTTAAGAAAGGTTCCTATTTCATTATTTATTTTTTTTCCTTTTTGAAATGTTTCTGAATTAGATCTTTGATTAGACAGTCATACAAGCAGTTGGTAGCTCTTCCTTTATATAAAATATACAATTTGAAATTTTTCCTTTTTGAAATGTTTCTTTTATTTGTGGTGTTTGGCTTGGGGTTTGATCTTGTTGTAATATGCACCTTTATATTTTCTTTCTTAATCTATTTGATCTTTTGATTCATGAATGGTGCAGATTTCTATTATACTTTTTTTGTCATAAATTCCTCAAAACTCTCATCAAAATACACCCTTGACATAACTAGAGTATCTTGTGAAATTCATATTTTATTTGTTCCTCAATATTTACTCTCTAGACACATCTCATTTTATTGGTACTTCACTTCAGCACTTCCCCGCTCGTTGCTTGGTTCATATCCTCTCTTTTTGGTGAGTCTAGAAACTGATATAAAAAGCTATTTCTTGCCTTGCTAGGCATCTCATTCCTGTGTATATGCTAGTTATTCAGTCACAGTGTGATGAGATATGCTTGCTGCTTAGATTGGATGTCTACATTTTCCAGATTCTTCTCTATTCACTACTAGAAAAAGTAGATATAACCACATTTTTTTTGTGGAATTTTTTTTTTTGTAAATGTCGCTAAATCTGTTAACCAATCTTTTAAATTCCTAATGACGGTGGGATAACCCTCCTCCAGCCCAGCCAGAGACCCACCCTGCCTCCTAAGAGAGGTGATGTGCTCATGCAAATCCTTGTTGGCTACTAGTTTGATTTCATTCATACCACTTCTCTACTACTAGTAGTTTTTCCAAGTATTTTAATATCTATGTTTTGGGTATTGTTGTGTTGTTTTTCTCCTTTCTCCAACCTGAATTGTAGTGGTGAAAGATCCTCTGTTCTCAAATGTTTGTTATTTGTCCTTAAAAACACTCATAATTAGTGGATTACATGTGAATCTCAGGTGTATGAGAATTTAAAACATATCCATTGATAGGGAAGTTGTGCCAAAAAGGAGTGAAGTTTGCAAGTTCACTGAATGAATTTTATATGTTGCATAAATCTGGCTATCAGTCTCTTGCCTTGATATGAAAAGCTTAATTCACTACAACAAAAATCACTTTTGGTGACTAAATTTTTAGTCGCCAAAAGTCTGTTTTTAGTCGCCGAAAGTCCAAATTTTACCTTCCCCGACAAAATTTTTTAGTCGCCACATTTGTTGCGTATTTCTGGTCGGCGGAGGTATTGGCGACTAAAACTTGTTTAGTTGCCAAAATACAGGTCTTTAGCGACCAATAATTTAGTCGCCAATAGTGTTTTACACTTTTGGAAATCAGGTCTTTAGCGACTAATAATTTAGTCGCCAATAGTCACTCAATCGCCGACTAAACGGTTTAGTCGCCAAAATAAAGAGTTTTGGCGACTAAATTTTTAGTCGCCAAAGGTGTTTTTTTAAAACCCCTCCTTTTAGCTACTAACTTTTTTTAGTAGCCAAAAACATCCACTTTTGGCGACTAAAGTGAGTTTTAGTCGGCAAAACCCCTCCTTTTAGCTACTAACTTTTTTTAGTAGCCAAAAACATCCACTTTTGGCGACTAAAGTGAGTTTTAGTCGGCAAAACCCCTCCTTTTAGCTACTAACTTTTTTTAGTAGCCAAAAACATCCACTTTTGGCGACTAAAGTGAGTTTTAGTCGGCAAAACCCCTCCTTTTAGCTACTAACTTTTTTTAGTAGCCAAAAACATCCACTTTTGGCGACTAAAGTGAGTTTTAGTCGGCAAAACCCCTCCTTTTAGCTACTAACTTTTTTTAGTAGCCAAAAACATCCACTTTTGGCGACTAAAGTGAGTTTTAGTCGGCAAAACCCCTCCTTTTAGCTACTAATTTTTTTTAGTAGCCAAAAATCTCTACTTTTGGCGACTAAACTGAATTTTTGTCGCCAAAACCCTACTTTTGGCTACGAAATTGATTTTAGTCGCCAATAACTATGCATTTGGCTACTAAACTGTTTTAGTCGCCAAAAGTAATTCCATTTTAGTCGCCAATTGTCCTACTTTCAGCGATGAAAATTCAATTTTTAGTCGCGAAATCTGCTTTTTCTTGTAGTGATTGTAGTATTTGAGTGCTACGTTTGGTCTTTAATCTTAAAGGCAAATTACCCTTGTAGTTATTGTAATTTCACTCTTATGTTGATAATTTTGGTCATTTAGTTCTATTTTCCTTGACCAAAAAAAAAATAAAAAAGAATTTCTTACCATGTTACAATTTAATGCAATTGATTATGCCTATTGTAGAAATTGGGTTTAGATGAAATTTGGTGATTATGGTGTTAGACATCCAATTTGAAACAAATTTTATAACCACTCTTACCACTACCATAGTTGGTGGAACTTATCTGTGAGGTGAGTATCCAATGCTTTGCAAATGTTATTTCATTGTATAAATAGCGCATTACCATTGTGAAGGTCATTGAGAATGAGTGGTTTAAGAAGGGATATAAGCCTCGTATTTTTGCAAACGAGGATGTTAGTCTCGACGATGTGGATGCTATTTTCAATGAATCAAGGGTAACTATATCTTGCTTACAATTTCAGTCAAAAAATATTTGATCATCTACCCTTTCGGTTAGTATTGAGGAATAGGGCATTGGGGGTGACTTTAATTGTGATTTTTGTTTTGATGTACAGGACACTCAAAACCTTCTCATGGAAAGACAGGAAGAACAACCTGTGAATCCTGTCTCTATGAACGCTTTTGAATACTTATATCTAAATCTTAGGGTCTCAACCTCAGTTCTCTGTTTGAAAAGCAAATGGTATGTCAAAGGCATATAGTTTTTTGATTGTTATGTTTTGGTAGCCGAGCTATCAGATGCAGAGATCTTTAGAATCTGAGCATTCCATGCATTTTTGTCAGTTAAGTTAGAGTTCCTATCTCATATCATGAATGAACCAGCTGATATTTAGTTATTGGTCACCTAAATATGCCAATTCAAGTAACTCAATATTTTGGTTTTTATGTTTTGTGCCTTTGTTTTTCTTTTCTCTTTTTAGTTTCTAATGATAACAATTGATTTTTGTTTGGCAGGTGAAACGATGACAACCCTTCTCAGTGATAAATGTACTAAGTTATTGTATGAACAATACAAAACTAGGTTATTTGTAGCCACTGCAAGTACCAGTTAATGCATTATTTACTAAGCTGATATATATATATATATATATCTATATATATACTTTAATTCTCGTTGTTTTTATGACTACAAGTTGCATCATGCAATTTTGGATTTTTGTTTTTATATTTTTTTTTAACCTGTTTTCATTATTCATATTGATCATCAAGCCATCCAAATTGTCCCTTGTATGCAGAATGGCAGTGCTGCTCCAAAGTCACGCATTCCTCAAATGGTTGCTCAAACACTGGGTTTTGGCCAAAAACATAATGCAACTGTTGATATACCGTTGGATTCAATGAATGTAATCAATTTATAGTTTGAATTTATATTGTTTCATAGTATTGGGAGCACTGAGTTGTATATCATGTGGTGTGATATGGCAGGATCCTAAGAAAAAGGAGAAGGAATTTTCAGCTTGGGAAGCGGATCTAAAAAGGAGAGAACGTGTTTGTTTTGCCTTTCATTATTGAGAATATACTTGCAACTGTACCTCATAAATCTGTTTATATTTTCTTATTTGTAAATTACTTATTTGACTGCCTTCAAAATAACAACCAGAGTTCTTCATGATTTGATGACGACTTCTTTAGATGTTGCCATTATCGCAATATATATATATTGATTGTGTACACTTTTTAAGATATTTATATACTTGTTTTCAATAGTACTGATGCATGCTATATTTTTCAGGAAATTAAACGAAGGGAAGATACTGTTTCCAGTGGTAAGCCATGAGATGAAGGCCAATACGTATATATTGCTTTGAGAATAGTTTTATATGCTTTTCCTGGATAATGATATTTTTCTGATTTATTTCTTCTAATATTGCATTTTCAGCTGGTGTCCCTTCAGATGATAAAAACTGACCTCCATGTTTCCCAATTATTCATCATGATTCATGATATAGGCAATGAAATTCTTGTTCATGCTCAGAAGTTGCAGTATCTGGCTTTTGCAAGTTGGTTAGGTATAGATGGCTTCATTTTTCTAATTTGAGCATTTTCCTTATTCCTTTTATGTGTCGACTTCTGAGTTTGATCACCATATACTGGCAATACTGCTGTCTTAGCTAGTTGCTTTCTTTAAGAAACACCCCCTCCCTGCCTCTGGGCTGCCAAATGAATGAAATAATAAAATAAAGCGAAAATCAATACTCATCACCTGTTCATTTTTCATAGATGAGTTTTTGATATATGAATGAATACTCATGATCAAATTACTGTTTTTTTACTTTATTGACTGCCTAAATATCAATGAAGTGCTAATCGTCCAGCATGATTTATTATATGTTTTAGTTGAGTTTAAATATAGAGGATAGTTTCATGACAACTAAAGTGACTTAATCTGCTTATTCCTACACCACCTCCACCATCACGACCACCACCAGAAAGAAGTCTTGCAAGGTTAATATTTGAAATTGGATGATACAAGAGTAAATTTTTTTCCTCCTTTTTTCATTTATATAGTCTTTCTGATATAACTTTGGTAAGAAGACTTCAATTGATCTGCATTTCTTTTATATATAACTTGCCTGTTTCACTGATATTTTTTTCCCCTTTACCCCACTTGCCATTGCAGGCATAGTTCTTTGCCTTGTATTTAATGTTATTGCTGTGATAATTTGTTGGATTAGAGGTGGAGGTAAGGTTTATAATATTTTCTTTTCTTCCGTACTTTGGGCATATGCATAAAAGTGTTGACAGGTTACAATATAGAACTTCTGACGTGGTCACTATTTCCAGGTGTAAAAATATTTTTCCTGGCAACAATCTATGCTCTACTTGGATGCCCTCTTTCATATGTCCTATGGTATAGGCCACTTTACCATGCAATGAGGTATTCAGCTATTCTTGTTCTCACTTTTCATTTCCCAATTTCATCCCGTGCCATCTGTGGGAAATTTCAAAATTCATGTACACTTTTTTCCAGGGGGGAGGGACGTCAGTAGGCCTCCCCATGCCCCATAATCCCTTCAACCTGGTAGGACTCAATCCTAGGTCTCTTATATGACTACTAATGCTTGGCCAGGTATTTTGAGATAATAATGTATTTTCTTTATGATTTTTCATACGCTTGTGCCAGCTGTTAGTGTTTGCACTTATGCTTTGGTAGATAGACATGCATGAAATGGGTAGCTGTTTTCTCTTCTTTTTCCTCCAAAGGTGCAAAAGAAAATGCAGCCTCTGCTTCTCCAAAACCTGCTGCTGCTGGTGATAGTAACCCCTCCCCACCCCCACCAAAAAAAAAAAATGGAGTAAATTCTGGAGTTTTTATTTATTTATTTATGGGTACCTAGAATTATGGTTCAATAGTAATAATAATATGCATTCACAAATAGATCGTACACAAGCTGTATTAAGATTTCTCATTTTTAAATACTGTGCTCATTAGTGACTCCTAATTACAATGTCATTGACACTGAGCTGCTATGGCATCTAATTGTTAACAGGGAAGTTATTTCCAAAAGGATTAAGATCAAGCAGAAATGATTAATGTTCCTATTTTGGTTTGCTGAATTAACTTTTTGGTTTATTCATATGCATCAGCGGTTTTTGGATTAATTTGTGTTTTCATTTTTCAGGTCAGAATTTTTTGGAGAGATGCAAAATATGGTCCAAGAATTAAAGAACTTGTTTTTTAAGTTTTTTTTATTTTTTTATATATGTAAGCACAGTTAATTTTTTTTTTTATTTAATTCCTTTGTATGTAGTTTTGAATATTTAATTTCCATTTATGAAATATATGACGTTATTCTATTCAATATATGGTTATGATTCAAAATATAGTATATAGTGTGTATTATATTCTTCAAATGTGTATACAAAAATAATATTGATTATTTTTCAAATATGTCGAATCCTTTTTTTATGACAGATTTTATTAGTTATTAATCACACTTAAAAGATGTGATCTAAATGTTATTAATCACACTTAAAAGATGTGATGCAAATATTATTAATCACACTTAAAAGATGTGATCTAAATGTTATTAATCACACTTAAAAGATGTGATGCAAATATTATTAATCACACTTAAAAGATGTGATCTAAATGTTATTAATCACACTTAAAAGATGTGATGCAAATATTATTAATCACACTTAAAAGATGTGATCTAAATGTTATTAATCACACTTAAAAGATGTGATGCAAATATTATTAATCACACTTAAAAGATGTGATCTAAATGTTATTAATCACACTTAAAAGATGTGATGCAAATATTATTAATCACACTTAAAAGATGTGATCTAAATGTTATTAATCACACTTAAAAGATGTGATGCAAATATTATTAATCACACTTAAAAGATGTGATCTAAATGTTATTAATCACACTTAAAAGATGTGATGCAAATATTATTAATCACACTTAAAAGATGTGATCTAAATGTTATTAATCACACTTAAAAGATGTGATGCAAATATTATTAATCACACTTAAAAGATGTGATCTAAATGTTATTAATCACACTTAAAAGATGTGATGCAAATATTATTAATCACACTTAAAAGATGTGATCTAAATGTTATTAATCACACTTAAAAGATGTGATGCAAATATTATTAATCACACTTAAAAGATGTGATCTAAATGTTATTAATCACACTTAAAAGATGTGATGCAAATATTATTAATCACACTTAAAAGATGTGATCTAAATGTTATTAATCACACTTAAAAGATGTGATGCAAATATTATTAATCACACTTAAAAGATGTGATCTAAATGTTATTAATCACACTTAAAAGATGTGATGCAAATATTATTAATCACACTTAAAAGATGTGATCTAAATATTTTTAATCACACTTAAAAAGTGTGATCTAAGTATTTTTAATCACACTTAAAAGATGTGATCAAAATATTTTTAATCACACTTAAAAGGTGTGATCTAAAAACTATTAAGCACACTTAAAAAGTGTGATTAAAAATGATCCCTTTTAATCACACTCCCAAAGATCACACTTTAATAAAACTTAAAAAGTGTGATTAA